TCGCAACATCACTAACACACTCCTTGACTTAATTAACCCTTAAAAGCGGCCTTCATAATCCGATAGGGAACAAAGAGGTGAGAGAAAAAAGGCACTCAATGTCACGTCCGAAACTGGGAACTTTGGACAAAATCATATTTTTATGGGGCCTTTTGTGTGTTTTTTCTCACAGTTGTGAGGCATCTGAAGCAGCACGATTCGGTAACGCACCGAGGATGATATTATCTTGGCCATTAGGAAGTCGGGCTGCATCTTAGCATTGAGACATTTTAACACGTTCTCTTTTAGTTTCCCTTCGACAGATGTTATTTTTAAATATCGAAGGCTCACACTTGAATATCTCAGATACTTTGTGAAGGTTTTTTTGCAATCTAATCTAAACGAATTACTTTAAGTACACAGTATTGTAAATAACTTTGTCTAAATAAAGTAAAGATGTCTCGTACGAAATTCTCACGATGACAGTCCACCAGATAAGACAGTATAATAACACACGTGGTTTTTGCAGCATCATAACCACATTCTGTGGTCGTTGCTTTGTCACCTGTTGACACGTCGTTGATATAAAATGCCAATAAATGTCACTTTTTTATGACACATTCGCTCAGTGAATTCACGTCACGTGCGACCGCCACGTCAGATTCGTATCAACGCATGCTCGCCACCCTTGCTGTCCTGACGAGCGCCATTCTCTCACGTGACACCGACAACGCTCGTCGCGTCATCTGATCTCAAGCTAATCTTGGCCCCATCACCGGCTATTAACGCCCGAGGCGAAAACATTTCTCGACAATGGTCTCATTAGCTTCACAAAAGTCATTAAATTGTTGACAGTGCGCCGGTATTGTGCCAGCATCACGTACAACAAGAGCGCTAACAACGTGTGGAAGATCTCAGGGAAGCGGAACAAATCGCGTGATCTATCCAGAACGCCATCCGTCCACAGTATCCTTTCATCGATGTATCTACATACCCGGCAAAAAAAAAGCCAACGGTCCCAAATGATTATTATCTTTCTTCGACGATCATCGATCGCTATTATCCTATTTAAAAGCCTCTTGATTTGTTCTTCGGATTTTTTTCTTTTCATTCTGTCTGTGGCGTTTCAATTCAGGATCCCAACAATGGGCAAGTTAAGAAAGATGTTTAAGTGTTTAGTTACGCTATTTTTTCACAATTTTTCAATTTCAACGGAATCGTGTCGTTGATGGGCCGGAAGGTGTCGTCACGGAACGTTATCAATACTAATAGTGTATTGTATTTGGAATAATCTGAGATGTCTAATATCTCAATATGGTGTAAATTAAGCCTTATAAGTTATATGCAATAAAACTTTGTTTATGGCAAGTTTTAAATATTACATTTTTAAAATATAACGTGTATTAGTATCAAAGGGTGCAGTATTTTATCTGTTTAAGTAAACGTCTTCGTAACTTATGTAGAAGAAATTTAATTAAGTGGCTTGTTTTATACATGATATTAATTTTTCACGTCCATATACTTACAACATGCATAAACGTGCTTGTCGGTTAAGGATACTCTTATTTTGGTCGAAAACAATTTGCTTGTATTAAATATTAAAAATAAAAAAGTTACAGCCTATACACGTCCCACTGCTGGGCACAGGCCTGCCCTCATTTTTGAGAGGGTTTTAGGGCAAGGATGTGTCCACCGCGATGCCTCAATGTGTTTTGGCGAACTTCACATATCTTCGAAATATTTTTTCTTATTTCTCAGACATGCAGATTTCCACACGATGTTTTCCTACAACGCCGAGCGCGTGGTAAATCAGCACTTAAAATTACAATTAACAATTTCATTGGTGCCGGCGGGGATCGAACCCAGGTTACTCGTCTACAGTGAAATTTAGTAGTTCAGAAGAGCTACCACGGCTCTTCTGAACTACCACGGCTCTTGTTAAATATTATGTGATTAAAAATTCTCATTACACTGTTTCACGCTTTATCTGTTAGGAAAAGTACTTTAGTAGATACTTAAGAAAAACAATAAAATTATTCAGAATACGGGTACAGAATATTATATCTTGTAGCTTTTAATTTACGTTCTTATTAGCCCTTGTGGCTCAGTAGGTAAGCGCTCGCCGTAAAGGACAATGGCGAAATAAAAGTTGATGAAATTATTAAGCGTCTACTTAGTCACCATTACAGATATAAATAAGATAATTTACTTTGTACTATCTAATCAAGCTTATGGCCTATCGAGGTCTAGTTGTTGTAGTTGTTACGATTCGTCAGTTAAGACAGGCAAAGGTCTTATAACATACAGGCGAGTTTGACGTGTATTTTATTCAGAAAACTCTACTATATATACTAATGCGTTCTTTACGGATTTCTTCCATGCTAGTAATTACCCTATATAAACATATATGAGAATTATATTGACTAGTTGTTGTTGTAACGATTGGCCAATTAAGGCGTTTTATACCATACAGCCTAGTCTGATGTGTATTTTGTTTAAACTGGAACATATTTAATTCCTGACTTCCTGCACTATATAATATAGTATGGCTGAAGAAAAAATTCAGGATTTTAAATTCTATATTTTTACATATTTTGCATTTGTAGACGCAAAAAAAAAATCAACTAAAATTTGTTTGAGATTTCGCCATTGTCCTTTCAAACTATACGAGAAAACTGGGTCTGATCTCCACCGGCATTAAAATGGTTAATTTCAATTTCGCATACTGATCTACCACGTGCTCGACGGTGAAGGAAAACTATGCGAGGTGTAAAATATTTTTAGGACATCAAGTTCTTTTCAGAAATGAGAGAAGGCATGTCTTTGTATACTGTATATAGGATATTACTTAACTTTTGCGTTCTTATTGACATAACTTTAACATATAAATACCTATGTTTATAAATTATTAAATTTATCATACACAAAATCGGTCATTACGTTTAAATATTAAAAAAAATTATTTAATAATATTATTAGGGTGCTATTCAATAAGATGTAAAACTTTGAACGGGAACTTGCCGTTGTATTGGAAATTGTTAACGACTGTTAGAATTAATTTTGGTAGTAGTTATATAGAAATAAGCACAATTATAAGAAAATATAATTAACATACTTTATGGATTCATCGTTCGAGCAATTTCAGTTAGGATATTAATTGGTAAGGCATCGGGCGCGGGGCGAGTCGGTCGGACCCACACGTAGCGTGAAATCGCGGGGCGCGGGAGCGGTGCCACACCTGGCCAAGGCCTGTCTTATTATTTGTTGTCTCCCATCTTCCATGCTCGTAAATTTCCACGTCAACGTGTGCGATGATTGTGGAAAAAATAAGGTCGACAAAGCCGTTCACACCCGGAGATATAGACATAAAGACTGACTACGCTCAGTAAATACTAAACATAATGCAAGCAGCGCGAGAGTCGTCTGTCGTATTAATGTGCGTGGATAATTTTTCGTCGTAATAAATTCGGATTGTAATGGCCGATAGCGATTGGTCTGAATGTTTTTGAGCTTATTCCAATAAAAACTTCGTTTGAAATATCTTCAGCGGGACCAGTTTTGGCATTATGTCGAAATTACCTACCTACCTGCGTGTTCTGAATGAAGTTCAAGGAGTTACTACACCCTTTCCATTAGCGACAAATTCTTATTAATAAATATGTATGTTTATTGACATTTAGATGGTTTTTCCTTTCAAGATTGCAATAACAATTTTATTCTTTTACGAGCCAAGCCATAAGGTTATGGAATGAACTTCCACTCCAAATTCAACGTGCACAAACTTTGGAAAGTTTCAAAAGTGACGTCAAGAAGCAGTACCTAACACTTTGGGGTTTTTGATAACCAATTCTAGCAACAGATAGTTATTCTGTGTTTTTTTTCCTCTTTGTTTTGTATTTATTTATTTATTATCTATGTATATATGTATGCGTATATAGTTATATATATACCTATTTATTAATATGTATGTTTATTTTATTTTATTTTTTTATGTATTATTGTGGTATTTTAACAAATATAGTTTAGTTTATTTAGATATTAGAATGTAAGTGTAACATAAATCGCACCACCTCCTACTGTTCTTAATTCCAGTTTCTCCTTAGCCCAAAGGTTGTCTGGAAGAGATCGCTCTTTAGCGATAAGACCGTCTTATTGTACATACGTATATATTAAGTTTTCTCTGTAATGTATTTATTCGTTGTATATGTGTGGTGTACAATAAAGTATATACTACTACTACTACTAACAATGCTCTTTTACTATGATGCAGTACCATTTAATACCAGTAGTTATGTAAATGAAGATTGGCTTTAAGTTAGAATGTGGTGAGTGTTTGAATGAGCGTGTAGTGGCGGTTAAGAATATCCACAACCCCACATCATACGATCATCATCATCACGAGAGTGTCGTCAAAGGCGACACAGGGAAACAAATCAGGAGTTGAGCAGCAGTGTCGCTATGGTCGTCACCAAATTGTTCAAAATTATGGCGATTTTATCGCAGACAATGCCTTTCTTCGAATAATAGAATACAATTTGTTTATTTAGCTGGTCACCTTGTTGAAACACTTCATTTAATTGTAGCTTGCATAATTTGACCTACATATAATATAGTAAACATAAAAAAATATTTAGAAAAATATGATAGGTAGGTACTTTTCATGCACAAAGTGAGAGATAATATGAATACTATTTTTATTAATATTTTAATTAATATGTTTAATTATTTTAATGCTATATTTTAGAACCGTTTACGTCGTCATCTTAGTAAAGATACCAATTGACCGACCGAAAATAAAAATGAAACAATCGTACTATATTTTACGTATTTCATTCATATAACTTTAAATTTTAATTTGTTTATATTTTTTGTATTGTGTATAAGCTTTGAATAAATTTTAGCTGTTGATATTACAAAAATCAAGCCCATGAGTTGCGCTCAAATTATTAGTAATAGAAAACAAAATCAAATAAGATAGCAAAAGGACGTTTGTCTATAAGTATGATAGGTACCTTACTTACCTCTTTTCATAATAGCACTGGCATGGGGGTTTGTGCTCTTGGCCATGAGACTGGAACAATTCCACCGATGCCACCGAAATTGATGTTGACATTCCTTAACCGCCAATTGAAGACCCTCGAAGGCAACTGCTGCCGTGTCCGGTACTTCATGACAAACGGCTCTTTGTTCCCTGGTCAACCCTCCCACTAGGCGACACGTGAGAGCTGAGTTAAGCTTGAAATGAGGTGGAAGCGAGTTGTCGCGGGAACTGTGTAAAAAAATTACAATAAATATTTAGATTAAATTAAATTTACTGATACTATTGACTATAGTCAATAGTATGGCTATGCAGATTAGAATTAATTAGAAGAATAAAGTACAGAAGTTATTTACGGGTTGAAATCCAGCTTATATTTTTGCAAAAACACAAACGACTTAATTTAGGGTCCCCTATTATCCTACTAGCCTATCCCCGACTTTGACGTTTGCGTATGTTCCATTTTGGAAAGACTGTGCATTCAACACACTGTTGCATACTCACGGTAACACTATTGTATAAATTATATTTTGTGAAGTACCTTCTAATAAATAAACAAATTTGATACAGTAACAATCTTAACTTAAACAACTTCATTATTATTGGATCATAGCGAAGCTACACTCTTGTTGCACGTTGTAGCATGAACGGGTCTGTTGTATTTCGAATAGTGAGGGACAAGGACGAGAGACCACTTTTACTGATCTAAGGACTCCATTTGAATTCTTAATGCTGATAAGGCATCTGCTGTTCGATTCCCGATTGAAGGTGGATGCATTTGTTTAAGGGCCATTGCATGCATTTTACTCATCTCATTTATCGACTGTACTTGTATAAAAAATTGTTTTCAGTATTATTATTATATTTGAATAATGGTGACAACCGAACACATAGTTCACTTGATGGTAAGTGGAAACTGTGGCCCATAGACATCTACATTTAACTTCGATTAAGAATCAAAATACAGATGCGTTGTCACCTCTGAGGACTAATATGGAATGCCTAGATTCCAGTAAAACGGGTTTCCGGTTTTCTACACTCACCATACGAAACACAGCAGCGTCAAGCTGCTCTTTTACGCCGCCATTCTGCGAGAGCGTGGTCCTTCCCCGATCGAGCCGATCCATTCATTCTACAACCATAATATAGCTGCAGCATGGCTCTACCACGTACAGTAACTAATTGTTTTTTAGGTGGTAGGACATCATTTCAGGCTAGGAGTCCGTCTGAGAACGTACCACACTCTTACCATTTCTAGTAGCACAAAGTAGCGCTTGCACTTTCGTGTTCCGATCTGAATAACCAGTAAAATCAGAGGAAACAACGTATCTATAGCTTTCTTTGTTAAAAGTTGGCTGCTGGTGCCCAGTCCATGGACTGCAGTAGCTTCGTTTCATCACTTACGAGATGTAGGTTCGTTTATCACCTTTATACTAGATGTTATGACTGCCTCGTTGGTTTAGTGGTTGTAGTAGTGCGACTGCTGATCATGAGGTCCTGGGTTCGAATCCCGGGCCAAAAAATTAATTATTGAGTTTTTCCGTCAAGAAATTCTCAGTACTTGCCCGGAGTCTGGAAGTTGGCTGTGTCTCACCCCCGTGCCTCAGAAAGCACGTAAAGCCGTTGGTCCTGCGCCTGATCTCTCTTCGGTCGTGTCGGTTTACCGTCCCATTGGATTATGAGAGTGAGGGTATAGAGAGTGCACCTATGCTTGCGCATACACTTGGGCACTATAATCCTGTCCTGCGCCGATGGCTAGCCTCCGTTGAGGCAGGCCGCCGTGGCCGAAATTCGACCTGGAGGACATTACACATTACACAAGATGTTATAGTCTGCAAAAGTTAAATCGAAATCAATGTCAAAATATAACACTTTTTGGAAATCAAAAATGCTACGTCATCGCTTGAACAAGTTAAAGTTAAAGCTACAGCCTATATACGTCGCACTGCTGGCCACAGGCTTCTTTTGAATTCTAAAAGAGTTTTAGGCCAGAGAAATACCCGTCACGCTGCTCCAATGCATGTTGGTGAAACACATCATGTCTTCGAAATATTCTTCACCTCCGAGCACGTGCGAAATCAGCACTTAAAATTGCAATTAATAATTTCATTGGTGCCAGTGGGGATCGAACCTGGGTTGTTAGGGTACTGTGAAATTCACAGCGAACGTTTAACCCCGGAGCTATCACGGCTTTACTTCAAAAATTGCCTAATGCCAAATATTGTCCCATTAACGTCTTACTGTTGCGCGTAAATTTCCTCCTATTATAGCGCAAGTGAATCTTGCCGAACTTTACATATCTTGGAACATCCATTTATACTATTTTTTATATATTATATTATATTTATATTTTATATATTATATTTTATATATTATACTATATTGATATTATTTTATTTTGTATGATATGTCTCTCGGACACATCGAACAAAATATTTCATTTTTAGAAATGTCAGCACCGGGGTCGAGTTCCTGTTACTGATTATCGTTAGAGCCTACCATATGTACACTGCTGAACATGGAACTCCCTCATGGATTGCCTCATAGGGATCCCCCCTATTTATTACCATAGTTGCCACGCTTGGCACGCGCAGGCGGGTTGGTAACCACGTAATTTGAAAGACGCTGATGCCCATATCTGAGTTTGTTTTTACTCTGTGGATATTCTTACACCGTCACTACTCTACGTATTGATTAATAATCTATATCTTTATATATCCTTCTGTTAATTATTCAAAATTGTTGCTAGTTCATTTTATAATATTTTAGTAAAAGTTGCAAGCAAATTTAATACATTTTTATGCTTATTTAAGTGTTTTAAATCATCATATACCGACCTAATTAGTGAAAAAATCACATAGTTGTTTCAAGTAATAATTCGACATTAGCTTAAATAAAGTCATAATATATTAATGTTGACCATTAGCAATCCTAATAATTTACACGTTATCTAAAATATTGCCGCTAATTGGGATCACCTTATGTAATTAATGTCAATATAATTAATTTATTCCAAGCACAGATGCTATCTTCACGAGTTTGAAATTGTTTATTAATGAAACAATTTGTAAAACAGTTCCCGAGGTTGAACAAATATTTTTAAAGTATTTGACGATGGAACTAATGAGGCTATATGGATTTTAATTAATAAATCTCTGGAAATACGACTTTAAAATAGTTATAGATGAATTCCGGTAATGAATACTTATTTTTAAAGCCCACACGCGTGTTAACTTATTATTAATAAAGACATGTAGGTCATCAGGTAGGTATGAAATTGTTCTGATTTATTTCAGCTGCCAAATTCCATCAACGCACACTGCGACAAAATTTACGATACTATCCACATCACCTGGATTATCGGCGGTCCACCACTGTGTGATTTACTTGGAGTTCGTGCTCGTATGTACCTCTTCTTCTTTCTTTAAAGAAGCAAGTTCAATTTTCATATGAAACTGAGTATGTAGTGTTGTTTTTAAATTTACCACAATTTTAATTACTTTTAAGTTACTTAATTTCATTATGTCCCAGCGTGGGACGCGGTACTCCTGTAAGTTGATACAATTTACCGTCACACGCCTGGCTATAGATTGCATATTTTCAAATAGTGGACGATCTTGCAGATACTTTCAACTTTTGAAAGCAATAGAGAGAGGAATGGAGACTAAAAGAAAAAAAAATTGTTATATTTGAAAGAATAACCGACATGAAGTTTTTATGTGCTTAATAGATCCATGAGAAAAACACCATTTATCGCATCACGTAGCTACCGCCAAGTGACGTGGCTTGTCTATCAGATAAGGCGAGACTAGGCTTAGTATCAAGATTGGGATCATATCTGACGTCTACTTATTCCATTCTCTAGACGTAACTTAGAAAATTTTGTTATATAAAAAGTGTCGGTTATGTCTTGGTTTATAACGCATAATATATTAAAAGGTGAGAATATTATCCGAGTAGAGTAGTAGTCTTTTTATAGAATAAGGGCGGAAAATGAGCACACAGTCCACCTGAGGGTGAGTGGATGCTGTGGCTCATACAAATCTTCATTGCCATATACATCTACATTTATCTTCTATTAAGAATCAAAATGCAGATGTCACTCCTGAGTATTGAGATGGAATACCTCGTTTCCAGTAAAAAGGGCCTCTGGTTCTCTACACTCATCATAAGAAACACGGCAGCATCATGCTATTTTATGGTGGTATTCCGTGAGAATGTGGTTCTACTCCAGTCGAGCTGACCTATTCGTGCTGCAACCACAATATACTCGTAGCTGCAGCATGGCTCTACCACGAAAAAAAAGATTCACTCTATAAGTAAACAAACAGCCTATATTTTACTCGCCTTTCTGGACCAGTTGTGTTACCGTTATCGTCACATCCTTCATCTGTACCATTTATTCCATTCATCATCATTACAGCCCTTCACCCCCCAAGTAATGCCACAAAGCACGGTCCTGAGCCACCTGCATCCATCGACTTCCTGCATATCTTACCAGGTCGTCACTCCATCTAGTGGGGGGTCGCCCTACACTACGCCTACCGGTACGAGGCTGCCACTCGAGAACCTTTCTTCCATCGGTTATCGGTTCTTCGAGCTATATGGCCGGCCCATTGCCACTTCACCTTACTAATCCGTTGGGCTATATCGGTAACTCTGGTTTTACTGCAGATATGCTCATTTCTGAGTCTATCACGCAGAGAAACTCCGAGCATAGCCCTCTCCGTAGCTCGCTGAGCGACCTTGAGCGTCCTCATACGGCCAACAGTGAAGGACCACGTCACGTGTTATTCCATTACAGCCTATCAAAAGTGTACTGCTGAACATTGCGTCCCCCATAAATTGCCTCATAGATGGTATGTTTGACACAGTTACCATGCTGCCAAGCATGCCGGCTCACAACCGCAGCTTTTAATTTATTTCTTATTAGGATAACGCCCCCATCTTCGTTAACTGGTTATGTAATTTACTATAACCTGGATTATTATATAATAATTCTATTAGTTCGTTATATAGTTTTTTCTTTAGCTCGCTCTCCGCTATCCAACCAAATGTCTTAAATTTAATTTGCCGGCCTTTAATTTTTCTTTTTATTCATGAGATAAATACAATTGTGGTTTCACATTTTAAAGAGTTATAACTCGTTTTGTTTCCTGCTTGTAATGTTTAATTTTGGTTTAGGCGCGTATACAGATATGCCTCCACGAAATGCACGTTACTTTAGGGCG